TTATTTCTGGAGATGTGATCTTGAAAGTGCGCCGCATGCCAGTGAGCTTTTCCTGTCCAAACATATTTCCAAAGTAAACTCGGCCCGTTGGCTATTAATTTAAGATGGAGAGATATGCAATAACATGCAGGCCTCCAGCCCGGAGATCACCGTCAGCAGCCAAGTATTCTCTCAGGAGGAGGTGGGCTGGGTTAGCCTGACAGTGAGGCATGTCCCTACGTTTCTATACCTCATTTAACCAGGCAAGCATACAAGAATACATTTTTATTAATAATGGTCTGTAGAAGCGGCTGCAGTAGGATGGTGGATCACATCCAGCATTTTCCAGTACATCCACCATAATGGCCACTGACCAGCTGAGGGTTTAGCACGAAAAACTCTGCAAACATGAGTGCATGAAGTCCATATGTGCACTGCAGGAAAAAACAGCCTCATACAGTGAGAACTCAGTGTCAGTCTCAAGAAATAAATCTCATACAATGCAACACAAATGCAAAGACCAGTAAATGAAATAAACCATCTGTGTACCGGTTCACTATTTGGCTCCTTGTGTTACTGTTGGCCCAGTTCAGTTCTAGAGGGAAGACTTGACTGCTCAGACAATTTTTCTCAAGGAAAGACCATATCTGTAGTTGAGATTTTGCAGTTATGCATGCAGGCAGAGAGATAAAACAATTTACCTCTTAAAATACTAACCGTTAAGATGCCATGGGGAGTACTTTTGCATGGGAGACATTTCATGTGTGTGAGGATTAAGGGCTTTTTAAAGGTTTTAAGAGTTTCCCTTGAAGCATCTATACATGTATGTACATGTATGTCAAAGACCCAGAAAAGATTCCCAGCCCCTGAGCATTAACGTTGGTGCAGAGAATTGACGTTTCTAACAACACACATCCTCCAAGTCTTTTGGCCAATGAATTGGTATTTTAACGTTGAATAAAATGGAATAAACTGCAGTTCATAATGTTCCTGCCCAGCATAAGAAGGTGCATGTAATGAATGCACATGGTTAATGCATTATTGAATAATAACCATCATCATGAAAAACGTCCTAATCCATAGTACAAATGTAATTGAACCTAAACCCCAATATTTTTTGCTTGTGGCTGCATTTCACTTTGCAAAATGCATGAAGATTAATCGGCAACATTTAGCCCTTTTTTTTTTCATAGACAAGGTTGTTACACAAAATTGAACATTATTGTCAGTGGAAGTACTATTAAGATCCAAGTTTTATTAGGTATTCAAGAAAAACTACATAGGTGAGTTTTTCTAAATAAAATCATCTTGCATGCAGCATTTAGCAGTTGGCTCTGATACAAGCTTTAATGTCTTCCGGACCTGCTGTAATCAGCGCCCAGTCCTCAGACTCTGACACAAACTTTTCTTTGCAACCAGAGTAGGAGGTTGAGTGGTGGGAACCGGCAGTGGGTCGTTCAGCCAGCAGCACCTGATGCCGGGAGAGAGGAGAGGATTGTCTGAGTTCAGTAGACTGAGGAAGATGGAATGCCCCTCACCAGTGGATGTAGAAGTTTTGAACTTCCACTTCTGCTCACTGCTGTGTGCAGGAACGAGAAAAATGGAAAACAAGAAAATAATGAGAGAGATCTAATATCTAATGACCCCCCCCCCCTTCTTTCTGTGCAAGTGCGGGCGTGCAAGCATAAGAAAGTACGTGAATGAGTAAAAGGTAGAGACATGAGTGCGAGGATCAGGTTCCCTCCCCAGCTTACTTTCACCTCTAATAGAGCCATTGCCATTCCACCGGGGGGAAGCGGTGCGGTCCCGAAACAAAGCCTCTGCTGTGTGTGTGCAGACCCCCCAGAGTGAACCCAAACCATACATGCAGTAATGGGCTTCTTCCAGAGTTTATCTGGCTCTAATAGACACTGCTCTCAGCCTCTAAATCTCCAGGACAAGTCTGTGTGTGCAGAAAATGCTGTCATGCCCCAATGTGGCTGACAAAGAACACGGCAGTTCAACCTCTCAGAGCGTTTACTGTTTGAAATTGTAATCTCCTATAGCGAGTAAGCAGTTCTGTCTGGAAAACAGTGGATTTACTGTACAGCTGAATATGTCTGAGCTCAATAAAATGTGACTGCAGAGATCAGGGATCTTTTCCACATGTAACTTACCATTGTTGTGTTCATTTGGAACTCCTGAAATGTCTTATAAGTGGAGCAAAATAAAAATCCTGCTTCTGCTTCTTTTTGGGAATAACCAAACACTTAATTACACAATAATCGTTATCATCTCAACACATACAGCAAGAGTCTCTCCTCAGAATCATTCTTGGGCAGCTCCGTCTCTCAGTATCAGTCCAGAGCCCTGCTGGGCTTGTTTCCACAGGCAGTCTGACCTCCAGAGCAACGTAGCAGCCAAGCTCATGCTGCTGCTTTTATACATCCTCCAACAACATTTCATACAAGCACAAAGCCATGTGCCCCTGCCTCAAGCAAAGGTTGACTTTCGGACTGAGTTGAGAGGCTGACAGTGGGGAATGATGTCTAGTAGCTGGAAAGCCTTAACATTTTTGTACCAGATTTCCTACTCTTTTTGAGAAGAGGTTTCAGCTGTTTCATGGTATCAGGGGGCTCAGTGGCATTTATGCTTTGGCATGTAAATCCTGTGCAACATTAGAGTGTCCAAGATATCCTGCTCTGATTCATTCAGTCATACGCTGCATTTTCACTGCAGCAAATTTCCTCAGAGACTTGGAACCCTTGCTGGAAGCCAGGGTCTAAATCAGGTTTCTCGGGAAATCTTTTTACCCCCCCCAAAAAGTCCGTGCTCAGGGGGGGTAGTACTTTTACAAAGAACGGCAGCCTTTGGTGTGAGGTGTGCATCAATAAAGGCTTTATTCGTGACGAATTGTATTTGCTGTTACAGAGTTTCTCAATTTATATCACGTGATTAATTGTTGTATAGTCCTCTACACTGCCACCACCCGGTCAACCGGAGTAAAATCGCTCTTTGTTGCAGTCGGTTCATACGTCAGCAGTTAATTTGATTAGTCCCCCTGGTGTTTAGACTGTGGTGGAAATGCAAGTGAATACCGGCAACAGCAAGAACCTTTTAGTCCCTTGAAAAAAATGTCCTGGAACTAAAATTTCCAGATACTTTTGGTCAAAATGTGGGTATAAACCAAAGCACTGTGAGTTCAGCTACATCGCAGTTAGATGAGGTAGACACAATGTGAGGAAAGATTATTACAGTGAGCCATGTTTTTTCTGTGGTGTAGAGTAGTGCAGTGAAGTACATTCAAACCAGTGTATTATCCGCTGATTGTGAGATTAGGTTACATGTGTTTGTTTCTTAATGTGCAGCTCTGTAAAGGGTGGCTGTTGCTATGCACTGTTCACATTCCCCCTTCAGCTGACAGACGGTCCCATCCAGCTTCTCTCCGACAACAAACACACAGTGAGGAGTCGCTGACAACCTGCTTCAAGGAAGACTTCGAATGGCCGTCGGAATGTTTGTGTGTGTGTACAATTCGTTGTTATCTGGCCCTGTGTGTTTCACTCTATCCACCCACACGCATAAACACAGCTCGAGTGTACTGGGACTCATCATTCAACCTCAGCCTCTAACACAAATAATCACAGGGTCCGGCCACATGTTGCAGCTCCACTGCACAGGGCTCTGACAGCTGTCAATCACTCTGCCGACCTGTAAACATTCCATTGGTGGGCACAGTTATTAAATCAAACTGTACAAATATGGCAAATCTAATGCTATTAATCTTTGGTTATTGACATAAGCCTGTGTTAAATTTAGGTCTGGCTGGAAAGACCGGTAATATTAGATTCCATTGGGAGACTGTTTTAAAAGGTCTCTTGATGGTGTTTATTTTAAGGCCCAATGGTGGACATGTGGATGGCTTTGCATGTGTTGGTGATCTCTTCCTCAGAACTACCTAACAACCTCACAGGAATGTTTTCACATTAATTTCAAACACAGCGTGCATATAGAGCTGGAAAGAGATGTGCAGTTTTTGTTCAGCTGTCTGAAACATTTCCCAATTTTGAAATTATTTTCATTTTAAAAGTCTGGGATGTTGATTGAAAGGTCAGACACCCCACCTTGACGACATTTCACACTTCCTTCCTTTAATTACACTGGCACAGCCCTGTTCTGACATATGATATGTAAACAGTCAAACAATGCTAACTGTATTTGACAGTTTATACTCTGGTTTCTCTCCACCACATTTTGGCTGCAAAATCAGTAGAAAGCAACTTGTTTTAACCTCAAAGTGAGATTCTCTCTTTCTTCTGTCGGCTGTAGAATAAAAACCAAAGCATGAAAAGGGACTTTTCTGCTGTTGTAGTCAAACCTCGGTGTTTGTCCAACAATATGTGAATGCCACCCTCCAATGCCTCTCCCCTATAGATAGTGGGGGAGTGTGTTTGTCTATGGCGTGGCATGGGGCCTTTGCTGTCTTAGCAGTGGCCTCTATGCCCTGTACTTGGTTGCTGAACCAGGGAGAACATATCAAACAAACACTCCAACACAGAGTTGGAGGAAGATTGGGTTACTCTCGACATGAGACAACGTGTCGACTGCATTGCGTTAGTGCACACACACACACTCCCCTGACCTTCAAAAATGGGTATCCAAATAGGAATGGTGTTGTTTAAATCCAACTAAAACTTTACCCTACCTTGTATATGGAAGGAATTTGTAGTAAACACAATATCTAGCCATCAAAATACTGTTTCCTCCTGCCTGGAAGTCACAGACAGCTGATGATGAGAGACTTTCTAGACCTTCTGATCCACTGGGGCGGTATTATACCATCAACACAGTGTGACAGACACTCAGTAGCACTTGTCTCTAATGTGCGGTGTTCAGTTACAACAGTGTTGGTGGAAAACCATCAGATAACTCCACAGGGGTATGCAGGAGTGGCAGTAGGAATGTGTCAGTTGTGCATGCATATGTGGGTGAAAATGTGCACCACAGCTGTCATTAATGGACATGTTTCTTTCTCCAAACAGAGCTGAGATCTACTGGCACCGCTCATCACTTTGCCTACCTCCTCAACACCACCGACTACAGGATCCTGCGTATGGATGAAGATCACGACCGCATGTATGTCGGCAGCAAGGACCACATCCTGTCCTTGGATCTCCACGACATCAACAAGGAGCCACATATTGTAAGACCATTCCCATTCTCTGCCTCCCCTTTGCTCAAACTCTGGCCCCTAAATGGGCTGTTACACTGAGCTGAAGCTGTTACCTCAGCGTTCACAGCAGCAGGCCCCAGGGCAAAATGTTCTGCTCTATTGCCCCAGCGGCAGCCATTTTGGCTAGCTCAGGTTAGTTTTTGTTGGAGAGCACATTTTTTTGCTCATTAAAACACTGTAATTGGGTTATGACAATCCTATGAGGACTAATATTACCCCGGGTGGATATCCCTTTTGCAATTTTAGCCCCCTATTCTCATAAATGCCAGTGATGTGTAACAGGTTGGATTCTAACGATGAAATTTCCTCTACCCCCTCCCTCACAGATCCACTGGCCAGTGTCTGAACGAAGAAAGATGGAGTGCCTTGTGAGCGGGAAGGACGCCAATGTAAGTATGTGTGTGGGGACACCACATGCAACCTTTGCAGAGTTGTTCAGCTAAGGTTTTTTAAATGCATTGCGTTCAACTACCTCTGTTGGTTTTAATTCAAGGAACTTGTGTAAATGCCACTCACCTTTTGGGCACAGACTTGGCCCAGTTAAAAGTCTGGTTCCCTTCTGTCTGGCCAAATAGACAGAAATGGTTTGAAGCAGAGACGCTCAGTCAATCTCGCACCTCCTCCTCACTGCCAGGCCAGGGTGGGGGACACAACATCATTGTCTGATAGTTTGATATATAAATAATATATTTAGAAGCACAGTAATACTGAAATATTTTTAAATGAGAGGCTTAGCATTTGGTAATTCTGTAGGAGTTGTACCAGTAATAGAAGTACTGATTGGATGTTTATTATGGTTCAACCACCTCAATCCCTGTGTTTCTAGGAGGAGTGTGCAAACTTTATCCGTCTGATTGAGCCATGGAATCGAACTCAGCTGTACATCTGTGGGACGGGAGCTTACAATCCAGTCTGTACCTTTGTCAACCGCGGACGAAAACCTCAGGTTAGGACTAAGGACTCTCAACATCTCTCTTTAATCTGCATCATGATCCTCTCTTTTTCCTCCATCCACCTTACGCTAGGTTCTCTTTACAGTGATTTCCCTCCATCATTAAGCCCGCTCATGGTACCTTGTCTCTGCATCTGGCAGTGTAGCCAGCTCAGCTTCACCAGCACACAGCTGCCGTCCCCAATGAGCTGTTAAAGCTACTCTGTTTAGTCTCAGCCTTTAATGGGACCTCTTGAATTTCCTAAACCAAGCCAGGCATCACTACCTCGGCATACTCCCCTTTAACACCTCACTCTTCTTTAAATATCACACTTGTTCACTAATCATGACCTGGGGACTTTTTAAAAAGGGGCATAAGTAAAAAGTAAATTTCCCAATAGTCTCTCCCTGGGGATCACAAAACAGTTCAGAGAACTTGCAACAAGCAACTGCGGCTTCCATGAGACCCTTGTTGCATTCAGATCCTACATGACCCCTCGCTAAGGAAGTGCTTCCATTCACTCACCTTTCCATCTGCCCCGAAATGCATCCATCCAGGCCACCCGCCATCATCTACCATGTGAGACGTGGACTAATTGGAAGTGGGAGCGCCCATCATGGGGTGTCAGTGGAATGTTCCAGTTCTAGTCCATTATTGAGAGGACTGTTTTTCTCTCCACCACACTGAACGGAGTTCTGAGTCGTCAGTGACCACCTCCCTGAGCCGAGCTGGGGAGTTAACCATGTCGCAAAATGTTAGATGATGCACTCACAGATGCATGCACACACATTTTTGTTGTTATGAATTCAACAGACACATTGGTTGTTGTTGTTTGATTTAAGCCCTGCCTGGTCTATCCACAGGGTGAGTTTTGAGCCTTGTAGCGTTTGTAAAATGTAATACTGTTTTGCTTTGGCAGCAGTTTTGAAGGGAATGTATGTGCCATACTGTGAGAGCCTTTATTGACTTAACCACAGGATAGAGAACTATTATTGTTGCCTTTTCCACCATCTGGTCAAATAAAGCTATGCACACTCCCTGTACAGTCTAGCACACACAGTTACATTTTCCTTATGCTCTTGCATTATATTAAGTACATTAGTATTTGTTTGAGGGTAATTCTTACCATGTCTGGAAGTCGGGACAAATTCAGTGTTCAAGGAAGACAGGAAGTTCCTTGGTCCTTCCTCATCAGCGGCATAACATCCAGTTTGTGTTGCTGTCTCCTTTTTTAGACATCCATGTATCTACAGATGGCCCAGACCAGAGGAAGGGCTAGCCGCGCAGCCGAACCCAGCGCAGTGCATGAGACACTCGGACTAAAGGTGCGATGTGGGCCCTGTCTGCACCGCAGCCCTGCATACTGCCTGGGCTTGTGGTCACCAGCAGCATGTTCCCTTCTCTTTGTGTCTGAGCACATTTTCTTAACATCATCTTTAACCTGGACATCATTTGTTTATCTCATTCAGCATGCATCCTTTCCAGTCCATGCACAGTCTTTAACGTTATGTGTCATTTGTGCAAATGCATTCAATTTTTTACGTTATTCTCTCTCACCTTTCACTCATATCTTCTTTGTGTAAGCCTCACCATCTGAGCATGCTTTCTCATCCACCATTGTTCTTCTTGTGGTTTGCATTGTGCTAAATGCCAAATTTTGCATGAGAGCTGGTTTATCAAATGGAAATGGCTTCACAAATTTGTGTTGACTTTTGCTCAGCTCACATTTAATTAAGTAGACTTTCGCTCCTGTTCAAATCATGGCATATTGAATTTTTATCTTGCATATATTTCAATGGACATGATGGACCGATGGACAAAACGTCCATCCTGCTTATCTGAGACAATGCAGGATGTCCCACCCATCAGTCCTTCACCCCAGCGAGCCCTCCACCTTCTGTAGGAATGTGGTGCAGTCTCTCCCAGAGAGGCAGCAAGACTAGTCAGCATTAGACCCACTCCCACAGCAGGCAGTGTTTGCCCAGAGCAAACCTCAGCCATCTGTAGCCAACTAGCTGTGCAGAAAAAGAATTAATAGAGCCACATACTTGAACATGTCTCCACCGCTTGAGCACTCCAAGCACTTTGAAACACAGGACGGGACTTTCAAAGAACGTGAGGGCTTTAGGTGAAGTGGGACACTTTGAGAATGTTGCAACAGTTTTTTTTTCTTGTGCCATGTCTTATAAAAAATGTTGCAACTTTTCTGACGGGGTCGTATTTTACAGCAGTGGTGTAAAAACACGTGCAGGACACAGATTCCCTTTGGTTCACATAAATGTTTGTGACCGTTTATTACACATCAACATCTGGCATGGCTGCGAGTGAGCTGCCAGCACCTTCTTATTTTCACAAGTGGTGATTTTAATCAAAGATGAGTAGGGAATTGCACAGGGGTGCGTGTATGATCCAATGAATTGAGTTTGGCACAGTGCCATAAACTCTCTTGTGCTTTAGTGCTGATGGACAATGACAGGAAGTCTCCATCTCTGTCCCGGCTGGGAGTGAGAAAAGGCGGTCGGACATGCTCTGGTCTGTGAGGCGGGGCTACAGGACATGTCATTGCACGCCACTGATTCATTTTCCCCTTCCCTCGTACGCAAATTCCTGCCAATCACCTATCAGTGCTTGCGTGCTGGGTTGCCACAAGCCGTGAGCATCAGTCATCCAGCCTCCATCCCGGGCTTGTTTTCACTGTGCTGGATTACAGGTGTCAGCAGTGAGCCTGCACAGCCATAGGCACCAAGAAGCTGAGAGATATTTGGCATGCAGCTTATTATGCGGAGAGAAGCAGCCCATGACACATTGTTTTCCGCAGCAGAGTGGCATGAAGATGGATTCGAAATTCCTCGCTTTTCCCCCCATGTATTTTTCTGTGTGAACGCACCCTCATTATTCTAATGCTTCATCCCCCATCAGGCTGTATGGGTCCCACTGGAGTCAGAGGGAGCACATACGCTGCCTCATTTACCCTACACAAGGGAATCGCCTTGACAAGATGAAGAGTGCTGAATTTATTTCTATCTCCATATGATTTTTCCATTACAGGAAGAAATCTTTCACTTGGAGCCGGGAAAAGTGGAATCCGGGAAGGGAAAGTGCTCCTACGACCCAAAGCTCAACAGCGCGTCAGCTTTGATCAGTGAGTATCATCTGAGTTTGGTCACGTGAGGAGACAGGCGTGGCTACAGTCCAGCCCAGCTCATTTTAGGCCCCCAGAGCAACGGCAGCCTCATCCAATATGAATCTTTTTAGCCTACTGTTTCTTTTCATGACTTTTTCTCTGCTCAGATTTTTTGTCCAGAAAGTTCAAGCCCCTTTTCATTCTGAGCCTATTTCCTACAGTGAGCTACTTATTCTAATCAGCCTAATCATTTAATCCTAAGGAATTTTACCTTGTTTGGGCAGCAATTTTTTGTATGAATATTTGAACCTTCTAATGCTACTTTGAAAATGTTATGAAAACATGTACTACTTATATGGGAAAAATAGCAGAAGGATTTATATAGGAAAAAATATAATTCAGGAAAACTTTAATAATTTAGTGGAGAAAAAGTGAATGTAGATGCTTCTAATACAGGAGGCATATTATGCTCATATTCAAAACACATCACTTTCATCATTCTGTCCATTGCTGTTGCTCTTCTTTTCAGCTTCTGTCTGAAACACATGGTTTTATTTTTTTTCTTGGAATTCTGTGAACTAGCTTTGGGTCCAATATAAATCCAAGTTGTTATCGTTATTATAATTAACTTAATTTGACAAAGGCTTTATCTCCATTCATTCGGTATCTATCTGTCACGCTTCAGTAAAATAGCTTGTATCTGGCCCTGGAGACTGTAACTGTCATCTGCTGTAGTGCTCCTGAAGGCAGCGTCCTCTGTTCCTTTTAACCAAGGTCACTCAGTCGGGTCCTGAACCCACAGTTGCCACCAGTGAAAGGCGATCTCTCTGCGGGTTGAGACAGCGGGTGTAAATCACTGCCACTGCTTTCCCACATTAGCACAGTGCCAGCTGACCAGTATGGAACCAATGCGGCCATCCATGATGGATTTACCTCCCACCTCCACCAGTCTGCATCATACAGGGGACACTGGTGTTAGTGTTGATAAGGATTAAGAACCCTGCACCACAACAATAGATTTACCACTGACCACTTACTGCTCAGCTCTCCACCACATTAGACATCCTGTCATCCGTAGACATTTTAATGATATGTCATCAATCTCCATAAAGCAAGGCTGAGAACCATGACATTGAATATAATGGTGGTAGGACAGTGGTTTTTGTTTCCTCTGTGCTACCTCCCGCTGTCTCTTAATTCCATCCTTAAAAGCTCTGACAGCCACACCTGCTCCCAGTGGGGCCCTGACAGCAGCTGGGGGACAAACACCTTGCCTTCCTGTGGCTTAACAAGACTTTTGTGTACATTTGTCAGTCTCTCCACATGGATGTGCTCATATTTTATGTCTTGAAGTGCATGTGACAGTTGTGAAAGGAAGTTTTGACAACTTTTATTACGTTTATTTTTCATGTCCTGTGATGATTTCCTCAAAGATTTGTGGGAAGAACAATGGAATCTCTCTTATGTGTGCGTCATCTCAGTCACTGGGATATGTTCATATATAAAATTCTGGGTATAATTCCTATTTATATATCTGCGCTTTAAACTGAAATTCTAGAGGTCATAAAAAGTTCTACGGACATTTTGTAGGTTTTTTGTCCCCCAGACTGAATTGGGAAAGGAAGCTTTTGGTTTTGGGCACCTATTAATGTTGAACAAGTTTTAAGTTTTGATAAAAACACTTACTCTTAATTTGAATGCTATGAATCCACAAGTTTGCCTGTTGATTAATGTTACTGATGATAACAAATTACAATTCCATGTTATTTTATAGGAAATTTAAAGCTACTTAAGTAGATGACGATGATTATATCATCCCAACCATTTTATATCTAAACTAAGACTAATGTGACCATTTTGTTTTTTTATGCTGACCTGCTGTATTGAGAAATGAAGAGTCCTGTGATACTTAATATACAAATATAGATTTTGAAACATGAGCCTTTTTAATTTAACTGCAAACTCTGCCACTGGAAGTGTCGTCATCAAAGACTTTGATTAACTGAACCATTCTCTCTCTCTCTCTCTCTCTCTCTCTCTCTCTCTCTCTCTCTCTCTCAGATGGTGAACTCTATGCTGGGGTCTATGTCGACTTTATGGGAACAGACTCTGCCATTTTCCGCACTTTGGGGACAAAGACTGCGATGCGAACAGATCAGTACAACTCCAGATGGCTGAATGGTAAAACTCATGCCTTTGCCTGTAAATGTTACATTAGGCTTTCATCCAGTTTTTACATACAGAAGTTTTAACATACAGGGAAGGATTCAGGGGTGGGGCCAGTGGGGCACTGTCGGTAGTTTGAATCTCACTGCCGCCTCAAATGCCCCAATCTAATTAGTAATTTGCAATCGATAAATGTGACTGTTAACACACGAATGACTTAAATATGCACCTTACTGAATCAGAAATTGTTCATGGATCTTGTTCATTGGCCCCTGTATGTAAATTGTGGAGCCTTCATGGCCCGTGATTAAGAAACATCCCAGATTCGCAACTGATATAAAGTCCAAATCAGGTTCCAAATCCATTGCAAAAGAAAAGGAAATGCTAACAGTTCATAAGTGATTTCAGCCAGAGGTTTTCCCATTCCTTTCCTCCACCTAAACATCTCACTATCCCTTCTCCCCACAGACCCCACTTTCATCCACGTACACCTCATCCCTGACAGCGCGGAGAGAAATGACGACAAGCTGTATTTCTTCTTCCGGGAAAAGTCCTCCGAGATGGGCCAGAGTCCTGTGACCCAGTCACGTATAGGACGCATCTGCCTGGTGTGTACACAGTCAGGAGTGTGTTTGTGTTGGGGTGTAAACATAATGAAAAGAAAATCCTGCATCGATATGAAAAACAGGCTGGAGTCTCCTGAGGCGAGTCACCCACTGTGTTTGAATGTTTACGGGCGCGGGATGAGTATTTGGCCAACGCTGACGTGCTGGAATCCACATGTCTTTAACCTTCCTGTCTACAATGCATCCCTCTGTCTATGAGGTTACCCTCTGAGCTCTGACCCCATGATCTCCTGACCTCTTCTCTCTGGCAGTTCTAAAATGTGACGCTTTAAGTTTACAGAGCAGAGAAAAACTCAGTGCCTTTAAGAAAACTCTCAGTCCCTCTCAGTTAAACTAGAGTTTCTTCACAAAAGCCTGTGTGCTTTTATGAGCCATGAAGACAAATAATTACAAATGTCTCAGAGTGATTGTGGGGCATCGTTCTTTGAATGAGGCATTGGTGAATGTTTGCTTGCATGTATCAACGTTACAGCGGGTATATGTGTACGGGTGGGAGTGAGAAAATGTAGCTGTGTGTGCTCATGCCTCAGCTGTTCACCAGTGTATTTATTTGAAGGGGGGTCAGGCGCTGACCCGGCACACAAACACTCATCCCCCTCTCAGCGGGCTCTGCCCCGGCCCCCGGACACCCAGGTCCTGTCGTTCTTACTCCGCCACACATCTGGACACTTTTTACTGCCGTTCTCTGCACCCTGCACGCCGCCTGAAACACACTCAGCCGTTTACTGTAATTACACTGGAAAGTATAAAAACATTTGGACTTCCCAAATGGGATTCATCAAAAGTGCAGGACCTCCCTTTTAAAATGTAACATAAAAATTTTCATTAAAGCACTACATTTTCCAAAGCTGGCAGTTGTGGAAGCACATACTGGTCTCAACTCGTTTTTTACTGGGATGGATTCTGGCTTCGCTCCACCGCAGATGGAAGTGTCTGAATAGGAGGAGACAGTGTTTACCATCCCACCCCCCATCCCTGGTTTTAGCTTCCAACATGTACAGTGTAGTGTGTGTGTGTGTGTGTGTGTGTGTGTGTGTGTGTGTGTGTGTGTGTGTGTGTGTGTGGGAGGCTCCACCTGGGTTTGTTTTCAGTAGTAGGACACAGGAGGATGTGAGTGTGAGCGAGTGATGGTAATGTAATTGTAATGTAATTTTTCTTCTCTGCCCTTCTCCAATACAGAACGATGACGGGGGCCACTGCTGCCTGGTCAACAAGTGGAGCACCTTCCTGAAGGCCAGGCTCATCTGCTCCGTGCCCGGTGCCGACGGCATGGAGACGCACTTCGACGAGCTCCGTGAGTACAAACACACCCTTTACACTTACAAACAGATCTTGCTGTGGTTTTCTCTGACTGTCCAAGAGCCAATGTGGGCGGGGAGCGTTGTATAGACGTCCTTGTCAATCAAACATGCTGCCAGAACAGTGATGTGTTTGTAGGTGTTCAGTTCAGCCAAGGTCACTGTCAACATTGTTCTGCCAGATTACATCAATCACATATAGGACTGCAACTAACAATGTGCTCATTTCAATCTGCTCATCGCTTTGTTGTGTACAGATTTATGATTTCTATACAAAGACAACTGCCACTGCAGAGTCCAATTTATAATACATAGCCCTTGTTTTATCTGATTATCAGTCCAAAAACACATTTACAGCCATTTATGATGAGGACAAACATCAATTAATGGAATATTTTGCTAATGGAATACCTGTCTGCATATTCATTAGCGAATTAGTTGCCAGTTAATTTTCTGTCTTTCCACAAATAATCCAACAAGACTCTCTGCCAAGGCCTATTTGTCCCCTTATGAAACCACATTGAAATTCTTTTTCAAGATTTTTTTCATCAAGATCCATGAATTATTCTTCAGGAAATCGAGCAAATATTGAAAAAAGCCATATCAAAAAAATCCTGGATGTGCACCCTCATTTGGATCGAAAACAGAATTGAATGGGCTCTTCTCAGGTCATGCCCCACCCCTTCACAAAATTTCAGTTGAATAATTTTTCATCAACTGCTAACAAACAAATAACATAAACTCATTGGAAGAGTTAATAAAGTTTCCAGCTCTTGATGCACAGAGATCCAAATGTAATTCAATTTATTTTATCAGTGAAAATGAGGTAGTAAAATAGACATTTGAAAAAAGAATCTCTGCTCTTTCCCAGAAGTTCAAGTATTATTATCTGTAATACAGCCCAAAATCTTTTGTTACACCCTGTTTTTTTTAAAGAAACTAAATCTGTCTTTAAGTAGTTAATCTTTTTGACAGAAGGTATCGAATAGCAAAGAGAAGAATAAAAATGACATGGCTGGATTTATCACAGACATATTCATTTTTAGGTTCCTGTCATGTATAATTAAATCTGAAATATTAAGCAGAGAACAGTCTACTGCAGGCTCTGTTGTTTCTGCTACAGGATCTGCCAAGAGTGTAACACACACAAACACGCACACGCACACACACACACACACACGCACACACGCACAAACTAGCCCATGGCCCATATTGGAGCCCACTCCCATCATATGGCCTATACAGCATACTGTAATGTGAATGACACACATACACACCCCTACCTCTGTAGTTGTCATTTTCTTTCAAGATGTGTGTGTGTGTGTGTGTGTGTGTGTGTGTGTGTATTTGTAAGGGGGCGGCCTGATAGGGGACAGATCAGATCACCCAGCGGGAATGTCTGTGACCTAGTGTGTGTGTGTGTGTGTCGGAGGAATCTCTTTCAGTCTTCCTGGTTTAAAATAGAAGCACAGAGTGATAAGAGACTGATGCGTGCAGCTACTGTCGCTCTTCAACTAATCTCAAGAATGAAAAGTGCTGTTACTGTTAACTCAACCTGCCTGCAGTTCTAAAAGCTCTTTTTGGTTTGTTTAACAAACAAGTGACATGCTCTCAGAAACTCTGCGTCCCTTTTCACGTCTGGAGCCTCTTCACCTGAACGGCGAGAAATTGGTTCAGAGGGGGAACATGCTTGCGTTGCCTCGACAAATGAGGCTTCTGTCTGTGCTGGTTTGAACAGTGTTGACACAGGCGTGCAGCGGCGTGGCTCTGTAAGCTGGTTGGAGAGTCGTCATCTGCTGGCACTGGGGAAGATTTTCAGGACGTTGCCTGAATAAGGCTGTAAATGTGTAGCGGAAGAAACTAGTGAATGGACAAGGACGGGCATGTCCATGTAGATATGTCCAAAGAGAAGGAAAGACGTGCAAATGCCAGTTTGCAAAGCAGTGGTCCCTACCAAGGACTCCTAGAGGGGACAGTAAATTGGATTGGATTGAGTTTCATTCTAATGGCTTCACATTTACTGTCTAGTTTGAATGTTTATAAAGCTCACTGAAAGGTTTGTCTTTACACAGGAAACTTGAGATTTTAGGATCTCACAGGGGGATGCACATTAAAATTTAGGTCGTCAAATGATTAGTTTGACATTCAGGGAAAAGCTCATATTCCTCTTTTTTTTGCCGAGAGCTAGATGAGAAGATTGATACCACACTCATATCTGTGTGTTCAACATGAAGCTACAGTAGCAGCTTTTAGCAAAAACGTCTGAACACCCATGAAACAGCCCGGCTCTGTGGCTCTGTCCAAAAGTAATGAAATCCGCCTACCAGCACCTCCAAAGCTCTTTAATTAACCTTTCATGTCTTGTTTGTTTAATCTGTGCAAAAACTGGAAAACATAAAAACAACAGTGTTTTCCTGGCAAGCGGCAGGGGAAGTGACTGAGCCTGACTAACAAATATTCCCTCACATAACCTCCAGTAAAAAACAGCAAGTTGTGTGTTTTATACGTCACATGAGGAATTAAACAATCAAGACGCATCCTGTTAATGCAAGAGCTGTAGAAGTGACAGTAGAGGAAGGATTTTTTTTTTACCACTGGACAGAGAATGTGCAGCTGTTTTGTGCTGTTTACCACAGATTTGGGCGGCTGTGGCTCAGGAGCTAGAGCACGTCATCAACTAACCAGAGGGTTGGTGGTTCGAACCCTGGCACCTCCAGTTCACATGCTGAACTACTGGGAGTGGTAGTTTTAATATCACCCGGTGTTTCTAACCATCTTGGACCTTACAGAGTGAACAGTCTGGGACGTCTCTACACCATGACATTGATTTATATATATATATATATATATATATATATATATATATCTTGTTTGGTAATCTGGAAAGTTGTGCTCCTTTTCAAATCTATCTAACCACTACAAATTTGTAAATTTAAGCAGAAATATTGTTACACTTATTACTGAAAAGTTTGTTGAAATGTCCAGAGCACCTGCATTACTGGCATGATGTTGTTATATGAAAAGACATTATGGTAAAGCACGTCTGAGAGCTGGGGAGTTTTTACTGGTGGAATATGTAAAATCTACTGTCTCTGTCCGACACCTAAATGACCCATTGTGATTTTAAACAGCGTTATAGTGCTTTTTTTACCCAGTGATGATAGAAGAAACTATAGCATTTTAAATGAGGTTGACCATTAAAACAAGTCCCACTGGCTGGAGGGATGAAAAGGCGCAGCGAGAAAAAACATGTCAAGTGGATAAAGGGGGAGAGACGCAAAGAGAAACAGACGGCACAAATCCAAAGGTCGATCAAACAGAAATTGAAATTTCTTTTGAGGAAATGGGATGCTGAGATTTTACTGCCATCAAAGCATAAGGAAGATAGTTGTGGAATCTGGATCCTTTCCTGGCTGTTATTTACACGCTAGATCCCCTGGAGCTGGAGTTGTCACTGCCCTGTCAGGATAGCTTTTATTGCAAATCACGTAGCCTTGTTTTCCTCCTCCTATGTTTTCATGAAGCCATGATCTGTTTTTTAGTGACTGTATGTGAGCTCTGTTCATGACAGCTCTATCTCGGACTGAGCACTATCTTGTCTGCATATGCATGCACTTGCGTGTTATTACGTGCATATCGCCCATTTCTGAAGCACAGCAGCTGTATGTCATGCCAGCGATCGCCTGTTGTGTGACACCCATGACAGACCATTGTGCTGCTTCCACGCTAACCCATGACCGTTCCATGTCTACGGCTGTGGCAGCTGTGGAAGATCGCACGATGGTGCATGTGAGGGTGTCTATGGGTGTGACTTTGGGGAATCCGGTTTGCTAAGTTGGAGTAGGGACAATGTGCTAGATCCCCTTTGGCTTTATCCTTTCTACAGGAATCAGCTTGCAGTTGTGGATAGTCCCTGGAGGAAGACTGGAGTGATTCTCTAATGTGGACAAGACCAAAACCAGCAGTTCATATTCAATGACAGAACTCACACCCTCCATGTATCAGACTATTTGCATATTAGCCTGACTGCTAATTTCTTATATGTGGGACTGTGTGATCATAAATCTCAACTTTTTTGCATCTGATCACTTCTCCTTCTGTTTCTGCACTTTCTGAGCATTAATAGTCATAATTTTAGTTTTTCTCCTTTCATCTCTCGCTTCTCGACTTTTTGGATTGTGTCTTTGCTACATGGTCATTTTTCTGCACAACTGGGTTGAGAGAACATTCTCGGTTTCCCTCGAAGGCCCGTGTCCTATTGTAGGCAGTGAACATGCCTCCTGGGAGTAGTATTTAGGTCAGGTACCGAACAGGAAAGAGACTTATCACCCGTCATGTGTTTAGCTCCTCTTTATTTGTTGCTCTGGACCTTTCCTTCAGTAACAACAAAAGGATGATTTAAATCAGGCCGTGTCCGATGTCAGAGCCCTGCAGGACAGAGTATGTGAGCGTCCGTGATTTATTGAGCTCCAGAATTGGCTGAAGAGTATATGATGCAGTTCTCCCTTGGGAGAAAAGAGATATTTCCTTTCCCTCCAAGTGGAAGACATGAACTATGGATGTAGAAGGAGGAGAATCCCTGCACATCATGGTCACATTGTCTTGTCTCTTCAGGAGAAATCTCAGGTGGTTCAGTAATCACACACTGCTGCAGTCTAGACTGTTGATAAGAAGATAGGGGAGGCTACGCTTCTTTAAAAGTATCATGGGAATATGATGATGCTTTTTCTTGCTATTTCTGCTCAGCTTTGACATTAATAATTAACTAATAATAATAAGCAGCAAGCCAATGCAATGCAAGCAGTCTCTCTCTCTCTCTCTCTCTCACACACACACAGAGGGCTAATGCATTATAAATGATGTGTGATAGATTTTTGTTACTTTATGGTTCAATAATGCAGGTTATTGACAACCAGTTGTATTGACAGAATAAGAGGACCTTCACACTTCAGTGTGCCTGTGTGTGTGTGTGTGTATCTGTACATTTTTGAGGACCATTTTTCAAACTTAAAGGTACAGTGTGAAGAATTTGGTGATATCTAATGTGAAGTTGCATGTTGCAGCTGAACACCCCTCACCTCTCCTTCCAAACATGAAAGAGAACCTGTGGTAGCCTTTAGTTGTCATTAAAACTCAAAAGGTGTTTAGTTTGTCCAGTCTGGACTTATGTAAAAAACATGGCTGCCTCCATAGAGAGGACCCACTTTAGATGTAAGTATTAAGTATTTAAATATAAAGTGCCTTTTATGGTTTAGATGAAAACGAACTAGTACAATCATCATGAGGATTATTCTACATTAAATTACTGCCAATACATCCCTTACACCTAAATCTTACACACTGGACCTTTAAAAGGGTGAAGACATTTTGGGTTGGGAATAGGTTTAGGCTTTGTGAAAGTGAGGACCGTGAGTTCAGACCTGATTTTAGTGATAGGATTAGAATTGAGTTTAGGTTAGGGTTAGAGTCAGTGTTAGGGTTAGGCACTGATGGTTCGACTTAGGGTAAGGGGCAAAGGAATGCATTCCTCAGAAGGAGCACAAGAATATGTATATGCAATTGTATTTGAGAGAGAGCAAGAGAGATAGGAAAAGGAGTTTTACTGTAAGCCTATTAAGCCTATATAGAAACCTATGTATGTACTGCGCCTTTGTGTTATGGGTCATCCCTCACAAAATATGTGACTCCACTGGTACTTTAGAAGCTGACTTTTAGCTTCTCCACACATGATGTTCTGGTGGTGCCTAGGACCAGTGATTGAATTCACAGCCCTACTAGCTCTATGTCTAACGCTTGGATTGAATTGCAGCATTTAGGATGGTAAGGTGAAATAGTCTTTTAATTAGTTATCTTGTCAATAAAGCCTTCAGCAAACATATCCTTCCCGAGGCCATCATTCTGTTCATTGTTGCACAGTTGATTGCTGAGGTTTTACACCTGCTGTTTCCACCAGCAGGATATGGATAGGACAGATGGGCTGTCTGGAAGGAACATGTTTTTACCTCTCTTTACTTCTTGACTGAACGCTAGTTTAAACCAAATTCCAATGAGTTGTTGCTGTACTTTATATTCAGTCCTAATAACCCAATATTAGAATGCTAGCACGCTAAACTAATATATTTTCATTTTAGGTCTGTGTCATTATTGTTACTATGAGCATGCTAGCATTCTGACATTTGCATTTAGCTCAAAGCGCTATATTTTTCAGCCATGTCAAAGTTTGTGTCTCACATGAATCCCTGAACTTTATTCTATGGGTGCAGTGATGGATTTCAGCGACTGTCAGAAGCTTTAAGACACAACCCAAGAGCCTCACTATCTAAATCCAGTAATGGCTACCATGTGTCTTCAACAAAGATGAAGGTTCAGCCTTCCAGGGATGTGTAGCCTAAAGGTCTATCTAGCTAAGACTGGTTGGATTGACTGAAAGCTGTGTAAATATTAGTAAAGAAGAGCACTTGTGCTGTAGAGCTTGATGTGTCCTTCAGTCACTCTTTAGACTGACGTGATTTCTCTCCATCCCTCTACAGGAGATGTTTACATACAACCGACACAGGACACAAAGAATCCTGTGATATATGGAGTCTTCTCTGTCTCTGGGTTAGTGGACAAACAGATACTGTATTCTTGTATATTTCCAGCAGCAATAATACGCTGTGTTTGTCTAACTTGAGCTACATTTTCTCGCACTTCACAGTTCTGTCTTCAAAGGCTCAGCGGTATGTGTCTACTCAATGGCCGACATTCGCATGGTCTTCAACGGACCCTTCGCCCACAAGGAGGGTCCCAATTACCAATGGGTGGCTTACACTGGGAAGATCCCCTACCCTCGCCCTGGCACGGTGAGCCTCACCTCACACTGACCCCACACACATGAAAATCCCACAGGAAACCTGGTGATTTCAGGCATAACAGTGATTTCTCTTTGACAAATAGAAACCATCTGGCACCATGCATAACCAAACTGAAAATATCACTGCAAGACAAGCTCTTGTATAAACTTTTCCATGTGATTTTATCCATTTATTTCATGCATTTGTGAATACTCTGAATTTAAGTGCTTTGGTTTTTCCCTCAGTGCCCTGGAGGTACCTTCACTCCCAACATGAAGTCCACTAAGGACTATCCAGATGAAGTGATTAACTTCATGAGGAATCACCCGGCCATGTATAATGCCGTGTACCCAGTACACAAGCGCCCCCTAGTGGTTCGGACCAACGTGGACTATGAATTCACCACCATCACTGTGGACCAGGTGGCGGCTGCAGATGGCAACTATGAAGTGCTCTTCTTAGGAACTGGTGAGTGTTATTCTAAACTTTATAGAATAACATTTAACAGAACAGTGGAGTTTTTGTCACCTCAGCCATTTTAGGGTTATTTTAAGGTGACTATCGTGTACATGAAGTGAGTCTAAAGACTGAACCTGTGAACCCTTTTGATCAGAGTGAGAATGGTGAATGACTGTGTCAGTGGGAAGTTGAATAATGAAGGTAAAAAATCCCCCCTATGGAAATAAATCCCATGTTAATGGAGGGCTTGTCTCCCATGCAATCATCTATCATTTGGAGAAAAGCATTCTTTTCCTTTTGTGCTTGAGTGGAAATTTAACCAATCAAAGGGTTTGTACCTTGCACTGTTCTCATGAAGTAAACAACAGGAGATTTGTACCTGGAGGGCAGGGGTGGATCAGTGAGAAAGAGAAGAAGTAAGATGTGGAGGAGGAGGAGGAGGAGGAGGAGGAGGAGGTTACAGCTAGTTTATCCATCACCTTAATCTTGTCCTCTGATGTAAGAAAGATTATGTGTTCCCCTGCATGCCTCAAACCTTTAATAAGACTCCAGGATGACAGTAGCAGCGACAGCACAATAATGCAGCCCTCAGAAGTTGCATGCGACGCCTCTTAACTGACTTCTTTGTTCATGCGTATATTACGGGGAGGACACGGATGGGTTTGTGTGCGGCGACGGCCACTGTGGAGGAATGTGTGTTCTTTCAACTGCTGTCAGATTCAACCATTTAGCCCTGCTCCGAGGCTCAATGCAGAAGTCATAATAAATCTCAGGTGTCCAGCTCACAGGAATGTCGGACTCTTTACAGAAATCAAACATGCCAGGGAAGCCTAGAGGGTTTTACAGCATCAGAATGAATAGGTGTGGATAAGAATGAAGCTAGGGATGACAGGAGAGGTTTGTCATGGTGGAATCAGTGAGTACGCTAAGTGGAACAGAGCATCATGTCATTGAAGAAAGGTTCAACTGGAGAGAACCTCATGACAGAGGTGAAGAGTACAACACAGCCTGTTGATACGAGGATTATCCCTTGTTTGAGGTTGCAGAGGGAATCAAATGGAAATCCAAGGGGCCTTTGCCAGGTGGACGGGTGAGTGGTTGCAGGTGTGTAGCTGACAGGTGTGCGTTGTGCTCCACAGACAAGGGAACAGTCCAGAAAGTCATTGTGCTGCCCAGAGATGATCTGCAGACCGAGGAGCTGGTCCTGGAGGAGGTGGAGGTTTTCAAGGTAAGTGTTTTTGCTCCTTACTCTATTATCTGACAACTGATACATTTCTTGTCCTTTCTCTTCTTATTTTCCTATTCTGCTAACGTCTCTGTGTTTTACATTTTCATCTGCAATGAAGATTACTGTGCTCACAAAAAAATGCATTTTCTCCATAAAGGCCCCCACTCCAGTTACAACAATGAAGATCTCATCCAAAAGGGTAAGTATGTCTGTGCAACAGATTTTCTTAACCTTCACTGACATGAGGAGAAAAGAAGCTTCCAAAGAAAGGAAATGAATGACAATTTCGTTAAGGTCACAAGCTACGTGCGTACAGCTGTGCCTACCTGCTGTTTCATAATTCTTATACTACATGCATGACAAGGGCAGACAATGGGGAGATAGATATGGAGAAGGCATAAAAGTTTAGTGTTGTCTTTCAAAGTGATTAAAATACTTGGCCTTTTCTCCATTTAATGACATCAGTTCCACAGACAGAGAGTTAGTATTACAGCCTGCCACACGGATGAATCTCAACAGCTGATCATGAAATCATGTTGGTAACCTGATCGAGATGAGCTCAGTATTCTACCAGAAGATCCCCAGCCTGCTGCTGTTTCAGCACAGTGCAGAACAAAGATTTTACACTTATCTCATTGCATACATGTGGGTTTGTGTTTTTGTAAGAGATCAAATAAGATAATTGAAGATGGAAAAAGCCGCTGGATACACAACTGTGAAATTGAATCACTCTGAAAACCAGCTACCTGAATGCATGTGGTCTGAATTGTGCTCTTTTTCACTGTTTCAAATTGTGCAAATCTAGTGACCTTATTTCCAAGTTATAAAAACTAGTGCAGAGCCCGTTCTTAACCTGCCTGTTTGGCCTTTGTTTATGCTGGTTGCAGTTTTCTTTCTGAAACGATAAAAGTCACCTGCAGTAATTGAGTCACGGCAAGCTGTGCTGGTCACCTGTTTATTCAGAGTTTACTAGTATTGAAAATATCACGTGTCAAATCACACCAAAGTCAACACTGCTCATTGGGCCATAAACAACGCTTATGCCAAGTGTGAAGCTGATAAGACGAATGGTTCTCGAGATTGTGAGCCACACAGACAGACAGAGATTTCTGGAATCAAGAGATTAATTTTTAGGATTCACAAATTCAGACTTTCTTGCTTTTAGTAAATGAGTCAATTTGACCAAGTAGATTTAACATTTTGTGCCTGTCTGAACATCATTGATTTGAAAATAATTTTTGAATATTGACAGTTTCATTATCTTTCAGAATTTTTAAACACTCCAAAAAAAAAAATATATATATATATATATATTGATAATAAGATTTTCTGAATTTAAACCTGAAATTGACTGTTTAAATCTTTAATAAAATTACTCCTAAGTTTTGTCCAGTGTTACGTTCTAACTCCATTTCCCATTTCCTTTCTCTCAACAGCAACAGCTGTATGTGTCATCTGCGGTGGGCCTGACACAGCTGGCTCTCCACCGGTGCGACGTGTACGGCGAGGCCTGTGCTGACTGCTGCCTAGCCAGAGATCCTTACTGCGCCTGGGACGGCAAGTCCTGCTCCCGCTACTCTGCCTCGCAGAAGAGGTGAGCCCTAGCAGCAGTGACGGCATGAGTTACACTAACATCAAAACTAACTGATGTGTTGAATGATGCTCAGATTACTCTGCAAGGATTGCTGAATGGCTGATTTGGCATCTTTTTCTCTCATATAGTCATCATGGTGTTTGGGAGAATTAACATTAGACTAATGATAACGTACTAATTAAGTGTAAACAGTAAATTGTGAAAATATGCAGTAGATAATAACATAAGGTAGCTCATGGTTATTTCTCTTTAAGTTGATATATGTATTGTTGAATGGCTTTGAATGGCTTGCTGTTGCTTTATTATGTTTTTCTCTCCTTATTCGGCAATACTGGTCTGACCCCTTTAGACGTAGCCGGAGGCAGGACGTCAAGTACGGGAACCCCATCCGTCAGTGCAGAGGCTTCAACTCCAACAGTAAGATGCATGTTCTTACTTTTATTACTTCTGTTTGTTAAATAACGACCTCAGTAGGTTAGAAATAACAATATGTTTCACTTTTGCTGCTCCAAACGTTCCAAGGTTGTTACTGGCTTATTCTTGCAGCTTTATGGTAATCTCTGACAGCCATATTGCAAAAAGGACTTTGATTTTTACCACAACTGAGATCTTTGGTCCTAAGGAGCTCATGGTAATGAGTGTTTTGGTTGCCATGGAAATCCCTATGTCTCTCTGCCCTGCAGCCAATAAGAACACTCTGGAGATGGTGCAGTACGGGGTGGAGGGAAGCAGCACCTTCCTGGAGTGTCAGGCCCGCTCCCCACATGCTGTCATCAAATGGCATCTGCAGAGAGACAACAGCGACCGCAGGAAAGAGGTGAGCCTTCAGATGGTGTATTTCTCAAAGTTACTGCTTTCATGAACATATTTAATAAGTGTAATGTCAACCCCCAAAAGAGTTGGGCTAGTAACAGAAGATGAACGTGAATTATTATCTGAGGACATTTCCTCCACTGGATTTGTTGCCATGGAGAGCAGGCGACATATATGCAACATGACACGTGAAAAAAGAGTTTAGTGTAATTATCTGTTAGCATGATTAAGTGACTTGGGCTCTGATTGAACGGTGCCTGATTCCTCCTGCAGAACTCTGTCCTCTGGCCCAGGGGAAGAACATAAAGGAGAGCAGTGAAAAAAGCCCTCTGCTATGACATACAACTCTGAGGCACTACTTAAAGTTTTATTGTGAAGCAATGTAGTGTTGCTGCCTTTCTTTTATTGACTATTCTGTTAGATGGTCTCTATTCCGACAGGCAGAGCCGACTTTGCCTCGCATGTCGGATTCAGAGCAAAAAAAAAAATTGTCATCACCTATTCAAGTTCCTGGGCATAGATGTGAAGAAAGATGGAGTTACAACATTGTTTGATTACATTTAAATTGATCTTTTTTAAAAATTATGGATATGGATTCACCGTACAGACCAAGAGAGTAGGGATGTGAATAAATATGAATACTGTAGGGTAGAGTATAGGCTCTGAAGAGATAAGTGGATATACAGTGTCAAAGGTTTTGCAGTAGTTGTCTATCACTGACCAATCTTGTGACAGTCTGAAAAACATTGCATTACTTCATATTTCTTTCAAATCAAAACCCAGAAACATCATAGACACTGCGAACCCACTCGGTTCATATATCAGAGCGAAAGCAGCTCCTTGAAACTTCATATAGTGGCTCAGAACCATCAGATTCAGGATTTTTCTTCAGTTCTCCAGTTGGCTGTTATCTGCACAATATGAACAGGTACTACTAATACCAAGGTACTAGGACTGGCCATGATACCGATATGTCAAAATGTAAATAGGCTAGAGGCTAAGCACAATGTGTAGATTGATTCAATTAAGCAGATTTGTTATGTAGTGAAGGATAAAGTTTGAATGATTTTCCAAAGGAGCTATTTACTACTAAAGACTGTTACCTAGAAATTGAGATGATGGTGAAGTTAGGGAGACTCTCAAAATGGTACAGTTGACAAATGGTGAAAGAAGTTTTTGAGATTATTGTCTACACTTCATCAACCAAGCAAGACTTTTTATGCATTACATAAATTATCTACAGTGTGGCCCAATGAGATATTTTGGCCTTGTTTTTTTCTTTCACACAGACACCTGTGCACTTTGGTCCAGTGCAATTCGGATGTGCAGTTTCCCACATTTAAACATTCCTGAACCGATACACATAGTGACAGCTGCTTTGCATCACACCTGCAATGCACTTGTCTCCCTTGACGTGTATCATGAGCTGTTTGTCTCTCTGACTCTGCAGATGCGTTCTGATGGTCGGGTTTTGAAGACAGAACAAGGTCTCCTCCTGCGTTCCCTGCAGCCCTCTGACTCCGGCATGTACCAGTGTACGGCCACGGAGAAGAACTTCAAATACACAGTGGTGAAGATGCAGCTGGTGGTGTTGTCGAGCAGGGCTGTCAACAGTGTTCTGGTGGAGGGCGGGGGAGGGCTGGTGCCGTCCTCGCTCCACTCCAGCAGCACCCAGTGGACCCCCAGTGCAGGCCAGTACAAGGACCTGCTGACCATCCTGAGCCAGCCAGAGATGAGCCTGATCAATCAGTACTGCCAGGACTACTGGCAGTTCGGAGACCCGCTGCTGGGTGCCCTCAAAGCCAAAGACCTGAAGGAGATCAAGGAGCACAAGAAGCCCCGCAACCGCCGGCATCACGGGGAGGGGGAGGAGAATGAGGAGCAGGAGGAGGAAGAGACATGAGGAGCCCAGCTTTGTGTCTGAAATACCCTCGTCCACCCTTCCCCCTCCACACCCTGTGAAAACTGGGAGAGACTCATTGAGAGTAGCTACATGAAAAAAGTCCACAAACCGGGAAAAAAAGCAAACTGAGAAAAAAAGAGGCTTGCAAACAAAACCCCACATACATCCTCTCAAACAGTAAGATATATGATACACAGTATTTATTGTAGGTTGTATATAGTATCATTCTGTGGATTTCTTTGTACTTATAGAAAAAACATGCTCTTTGTGTATAGGTACCTTTGGGGCAAATATTATTGTTATTATTGATGTTGTTAATTTTATTGTTGCTGTTACTGTCATTACAAAACTCATCTGTCGGCATCACATGACCATTGGCGACTGTTTGGAATGTGTTAGCGGGCATGTAAGCTGTCAGGAGCAAACTACGAGACGCTCGCTCTGACAGGGAAATGAATTGTTGATAAAGGGTTGATGGGATCTCCTTTGTTTCTTGCTTGTTTTGACTCGATTCCAGGACTCTTTTTATTACTGGACACATCAAGAATGCCGGTAATGCAACCTCCTTGTGGCTGCTCGCAGACAGAGACTTAATATTGCAAGGGGACCATTGATACATGGTCCCAGTTATTGTGGGGAAACAGTTCTTTCTACATGGGAACCTACAATATGTTGTAATCGGGCCTTTTAATAATTGTATTTTAAACTGGTGCTTGCCCTTTGTTTTTTTCCTCTACTTCTCGTGATTGGAGGATTGATTGTAAAATGATGGAGCATCTTCGCTACTTGTCAGACGAGATACTAATTCAGATTAGTGAGATTTACATTTGCAAAAAAAATGACAAAGTTCTCACTGTGTTCTTTGCCCTGAGTGACCTGTGGTTGCTTCTGGCAATGGATTTAAAAATGAGACAAGCATCAGCTTTTTATGAGATCTATCATTATAATTGTTGACATAATAATGTCACTATAATGCTACGGTTCTTTTCTGCTGCAAACTTTGAACTGAGAGAGAGGTGCAATATAAGGTCAAGGTTTTGTACAAAGGGCATTATTGTTTTACTTTCAAGGGACATTGGCTGGGGCCAAATGCGACAAGCACACTCGGGCAAGGTGTAGTTGACTTTAGTGTCAAAACAAAACCAGTTTAAAGAGGAAAGAAGTGCCCACATAAGGCAGCACTCAAGACATCTCTCGTTCTTTCTTCCTTTGACATTCATGTGTGGAAAAAAATGTAATTGCCCATATACACAACAGAGCATCGTAACAATGTTGTGACACTAACCAAAATTATTGGGAAGCTGGCTTTCATTGTGTGCATGAACCTGTATTTGTACTGTAATTCTGATAAGATACTGTGTGGTCGTTTTTTTCTGTTCTTTGTTTCTAGAGGTGTACAGTACAGTCTGAGGAAGGTTCTCAGTGTGGCAAAATGGGAAAAACAAATGCTTTAAAGAAGTCCTTGTTTAAAATATACTCCTGTATAAAGCATGATGCATTTTCTTATTGGCATGAATTAGGTTCTGTCAAAGTACAAAGTGCAATTATCTTGCTCATGTGTTTGAAAAACAGTTAATAGCATAATTTTAAAAAGTGCAAACAAGTTACACATCAATCACAGAGTAGGGCAGATTGAAATTGAGAGGAGTGTTTTTAAGAAGTGAGCAAACATTCTATTGATTAGAATGCTTGTGCTCACTCTCTGCTATACTGCTCTATGAAAAATATTACTACAAAAATTCCCCAAGAAGTAGATTAATGGAGTTTTCATGTATAAGAATATACAACTTTGGAAAAAATTGGAAAAAGGAAAACATGTAGCATTATTATGACATTAAGTGTCTTTTAATGTACATTGTTCAAGCCTTTTAATAGTCTGCATGAATGCCTATTGGAAGATGCATTAATAATTCATACAGATGTTTTTGTATCCGCTCCTCAATTTGGAATTTGTCTGCATTCCCAGAATCAATCTCGGCCCCAGATCGTCTCTTTCAAATGAGACCAGGGATTCTATAAATGGAAAAAAATTATGAAAAAAGGCAAGGAGGGGTTGTACAATTTGTTGGTATTTTTTTTTAAACTGTGTCTTTAGTTTTTGAGTGTTTTTGTTTGTTTGTTTTTTTTTGTTTTTTTTTGCATCATCAGACTTTATGAAAAAAGAAAAAAACACTAAATGCACAGAGGTGATGCTATTGTAATGACTTGTGTAAATTACTTTATCTTCCCTTTCCATTGTTGTTGCTGACTAATAAATTAAAGCTCTATATTTTATAAGAATGGAATGTTCCCCCCCTTCATTGTGATTGGCCTTATACTGAATGTTTTCCATGTTCTGCCCAGATCTCTCTGGATCCTTGGAATAAAGTTGTACCTGTTAAAGAGATATGTATGCACATTTGTATAAAATATACACATTACATTGGTGTTTGTAATGAAGCCATTAGGAGGTAAAACATTTTAATGAAAGAGCAAGTGTTATTAGCTCTGGGACTAATAGATATGAATGATGAAAGCTCCGAATCCCCATCGCTTAATATAGTCAGATCAGATTTTAAAGGTTCATTAAATCAGATTTTTATTGTTCAGTAGATAATGAGAAAATACCTGGAGGATACTTGAGGATT